CGAAACAATGTATGTTGGCTGTGTGTATAATGCTGGCAGCATGTGACAAGTATGGTATTGCATTTTTAACGGCAGCACTTCCCCCAGCTCGAAAACAACAATTTGCAAATTTTTACCCACAGTACCGTAAGGCAAATGAATTTGTTGTTTAGCGTACTGTAATATTTTTGCGGTTTTTTGCGTCTTGTTATAATTGTTAAATTTACTGTCGTAAAATAACGTGGCTTTTACTTTTGGATTATGTACCTCTCGTTTGACTCAAACATGTGCCTGAAATTTTATTGCTGTTGCTTTCCTTAATTTTGGAATTTGAATTTATTGTCCACGTTGCGAACTGTTATGTTGAAATAATTTAAAACTGTTGTTATCGCTGTTGTTGAGTTGTGAGTCAAGTTGTTTTCAGTATTTTTCTTGTTTAAGTTTTGAACGACCATTTTCTTTTTTTTTTTTTTTGCCTTAGCTGCTGCGGTTTAATGTAGTTTTTTTCAAGATCATGAATTGGGAGCAGTTTTTCATAGTTATAAGTGCATGATGTCTAGTGATTAAGCGGTTGTAAAGGGACAGTTGAAGTCTCTTGGATAATAAAAAGAGATTTTTTGAAAGTGCATAGTTGTTTGTGAGACGAGCCGCTTATTTTTTCTAGGATGTTAATGTTCATTGTTCGATTTTTTTATGTTGAGCAATATTTGACATCCAAATCATAGAGCGTTGGAGTACTCAGTAGATGTTGGATGCTTTTATTAACATGGAACAGTGGATAGATGGAAGGACATTTAAATTAGCGATGAATAGAATGAAAATTTAAGAAACAAGTGCAGGGATTGTTCGGCAATGTGGTTTGTTTTATTTTTATTCACCATTGTTTGTCCAAATTGAGCAAGCGGAAATATTGCATGCAGTTGTTTGGGCATCTTGATGCGATAACACCAATAAGTTTTTGCTTACAAAGCTGGGCTAAGCTTTTGGCTTTGAGCATTAAAATTATCAGTGTATTGACTTGTTTACTATGAACGCCTATGGATATATCGTGCTCTTCAACCAATTAGTCCTTTTTTCTTTGATGGTCTTTGGAATTCCAGTATCACTGTAATGCTTTTTTTTAGAGTGGTGGTTTTTTTGCTAGTATTTTTCTTCCTTGTCTCGAAGCAGCCTGAGCGGCTTAATTTAGCTTTGACAGCAACTTTTCAGATCTTGGAATGTTGTTTGCATTTTTTCCGAAAATATTTTGATGCATTGGGTTATGATTAGGTTTAAATTCTTTTTTATCTTGGTTATTCTTTAGGTGAGCAAACAGTTGTGGTTGTGCTTACTGTTGGGTTTTAGTGATGAAAGCTGAAAATCAAGAAGAATCAAAAAGAGGAGTTCAAGGGTTAAAACTCGTCGTTTATCATGTTGAAGACTGTGAATAAAATTTACTGTGGAGGTTTTGCTGATACATTAGTTGCGGCAGTTTGGCTAGATTTTTTACCACCTTCGCCACTCGTGCCTTTTTCTTTACAGCTTTTGCAGTCAGTATAGACAATCTTGCTTGTAGCTGGCAGCTGAAAAACTTGTTATCTTGAAAGCTAAGATCGTTTATAAAACCTTTTTGGAAATTTCTATGCTTCTCACATCTTTTTAAATTTCCACTTTTTTCACTACCATATTATTTAGCACAGTATTTTTGTTGTTTTCGAGTGATTGGCTGTTGTTAGCACAAGTCATCAGTTGGAGCGAAGAAGTTTTTGCGGTTAGCAGGGTTATTAGAAGGTTTGTCATTTCTATTTAAAGGAAATTTTCTGAAAATTTCTTCTAAAATTAAGATGACATCTTAAATGTTCTTCGAATATCCTTGGCAAAGTATTTTCAATTTGATATACTGTAAAATTGGAATATAGTCTGGGGACAGTGTTTTTACTTAGAATCTAAGAATTTAATCTCTGATTGTTCAAACTCTATACTGGTGCAGTATCAAACTGTTTTACTTGGCTAAAGCAAATTGTTTTACAAAATTTGGCTTGTTGAATCACATCAAATCGTCAATAGTTGTCGTTCAAATAGGTTTAGAAGGAAGTAGTTTTTTTTTTGTTTTCAAATGTTTTTACAAACAGTAAACTTTATCGTTATTGCTCATTTTGTTTCCTTTATTGGGTGGAATTTTTTTAAGGTTTATTCTTTTTGTTTTTTTTTACTTATTTAACCTTGGTTATCCTAAGAAAACATGGATGCCAGAAATGGCAAACTTTTGTGATACCAGGTGAATTCAGGTTTGGTGACTTGTTTGCTCAAAAACAGCTTTATTTTTCAGTGTTCTGAGTCTCTTTGTTTTTAGCAGTCTGTATGACAAATTTTTCGCATTGAACTGTTGATGTCTAAATTTGATGATTAGTTGACAAATTGTGGAGGAATTCCCAAGTCCTCAAAGATTGGATTTTAGCCTTTTGTTGGAAATCAGACACGACCCTAGTTGCTACTTTAAGTCATACCATTTGCTAGTTCAGCAGTTATACATTCAGGCAAATTTTCACTGTTATGCAGTTGAAAGGCACTCAATAGTTACCACTTTTTGCTAAAAGTGGCTTTGTGGTTTCTGTGTTATTGCTACTCTTTTCATTTTCCGAATGAGAACTGAAACAGGTGACCTTACGGATACAGTACAGAAGAAACGAATGCTGGTAATTTAGTTTGGAACAAGCAGAAAGAAATTTACACTGACAAAAATTGATGTTTTTCTTAGCTTTATAGAATCTGAATACTTGAATTGTTGTTGCTGTTGTTATTTTTTGTTGCCGTTTTTGCCGATGCTATTGCTGCTGATGATGGTGCTGTTGTTTGGAATAAAAGCTTCACAGATTAAACCAAATAATCGGAAAAAATTTTTTGCTATTCCTTCCTCTTTTTCTTCATCTTCTTGGCTGTTTAGTTTCCTTCAACAAAGAAAAAGGCGCATTTCTTTTGACGCTAAATAAAAAAATTGAGGAAGACAGTGTTAAGTTAGTTAAAAAACAACAAATATCGTTTCTTTATTGCCGTTACGCTCAAATTTTTAGTTTTATTTTTATTGAAAGACACACAC